CCCCTGTAAACGCTTACTTTAGTCTGTCCCGACAGTCTGGTTACGCTAAATGCTAACGCGTCCTTTTGCGAAGGAACGTGACAAGCGGACTTTCTGCCTATACGAGAAAGGACGCATAATGGTTCGCTTGGTATATCAAACAATAATAATTATAAAGCTATGATTGACATAGCCGCGGAGGGATCGATTATCCCGGCAGTGAACTTATCGTCGGCTGGTATTCGTGAGACGAATAGAATACCAGCCCGTGGCCTTTCAGACTGTAAGGCGCATAAAACATTTGGGGAGCCGGTCGAAACTTTCTAGGTTATTCGACCTACCTACGTATGCCGTAGCAGCTGATCCGCCATTTGAAAAATCACTTTATCCCTAATCCTAACAGGATTCTATATTCAAGTAGTAAGTCTGTCATTCCCATATCTGGTCCTCATATTTGATGGCTGCAAACATACCTAGGTAAGCAAATAGAATCGGCCTTCCTCCTTTCTTCCTTTCTCTTCGTTATCAACACCAATCGAAGGGCTCGACGACTGAGGCAAAGCATAACTAACCTAGGTGCCTAGGTGCCTAGGTAGGTATTTTTACCCTCCTATACGATCCGGTGAATCCTTTCCTCGTGACCTTGGTTGTTGTTTTTGTCGCGTATTCACTTCCCCTTAGTATCATAACCTTACCATACCTAAGTACCAAACCTTTCCATCATGATGTCTTGCGCCCAATATGGCTGATAACTATCTCTGTGGCATATAATATTCTTGTCCCGATGACTTGGGTACGCCAATGTAGGCTGCTCGAAATGGGTTTCGCAATGTCACAAATCGGGGGCCACTATATAACGTTTAGCCAGCTTTTAGTTTCTTCGAACCTGACGCTCGGCTCATCGTCTCGTTCCTTGTACAAAACATCCACGTTCTACTTCCACTCCTATACCTAGGTACTACTTACTTACCCAGTAAATATACCTAAACAGGTACTCAAGTGAGTAGGTGGTCACTACCAGCTTGCGTATTTTTCAAATCATGTCTTTCTCATCCCCCATAACGATGGATCTTCTCTTGGTTCATGGACGACGCCGTAGCCAATTCAGATGCTTATTAGGATGACCTGATAGGGCATAAACCTATCGCATACCTGGTAGAACCCTTCCTTGGCAACTACGATGCTTAGGTGAGTTGCACCGATTAGCTGGGCTTCTCGACCTCTACAGCGAGGTCCGCATCCTCGTCCATGCCCGTCCCCAAGTCCGAATCCGACCAGGTCGATGGTCCAGGCAAGGCATCTTCTACATCTAAGAAGCTGTTCAGGTGTGACTCGCTAGAATGTGCCAACCTTAGGTAGATGAGATTAGAGTACATTAAGCGACACAAGTCTATACTCGCCATTCATAACCACTACTAAGAGATACTGCAGCCATCATATGCCAGACACGGAATTATTTCCTTGCGAAATCTGCGGCAAGACTTTCAACCGTAACGATAATCGGCGCCAACACCTATTCCGGCATACGCGACCCGATAAAAGCCGAAATGTTAGGACAAAATTCGATCCTAGGGCAGTTGCCATGTACGAAGAGCAGAAGAAATGGCAACGGAAGAGGGCGAAAAGCGCCAAGAGGGTAGAGGTGATGAAAGTTGACTGAAAATGCATTCCAATAGGTCAGATCGTAAGGATGACATGGGGCACAGATTTAATTGACAAAGAATTTCGTACAAGGATGAAAAGCAGTTCGCGTACATACGTCGTCTGTCATGTGAATCGATCAACCTTGTCATGGGGGCGGGCGAACCATCCCCGCCTTGATGTTACATCCAGGACGGGGACCACAGCGCCTACCTAGGTAGGTAGGCAGTAGGTAGGGGCTGGCTGGCCTTACATGCAAATCCTAATGAGATGATCTACCCACATCCTACAGTACTTAGGCATCTTCGGTTGCTAATGAGTTCATTTACTATAACCATTTATTGCAATCACACCAAAGATGAAATATCTACATATTAGGAACGGTATTAGGCGACAATGACTGTTGTGGCTATTCGAATGGACTACTAGCGCATTGGCTTACACATACCCATGCTATAAAAGGAGGTCTTGGCCGGCTCAATTTTTAGTAGATCCACGGGCCGAAGTTCTTCGCTGTCGCGTACGGGCCGTAGGTGGCTAAGCCAGCCCAGCTTCCAGCGCGGTATGCTTCGGCTTCCAAGCCTTTAATTTCTAGAATGACCGTCCAATCCTTTCTCTATGAGGCCGGAAGCCCGTCTGTCACATTCCTTAGTAGACAGATTAGCATCAGCGTAGCCAGACTATCAGGATGGGCTAAAGGGAGGATAAATGATAGGTGATTTAACCATTATGTCACAAACCACACGCGCTTACAGGGGTGTAAGACCTCGGAGGAAACCTTTTTCCTCGCCGAAGTGGGGCAATGGCAGCGGGAATACATGACACGTGACATGGATGAGTATGGATGAGGGTATCCAACCTCATCCATAAGGGAAGCAACAGTAGGGAACATCTATATAATCACCACATTTTCCCATGTATCTAGTCACTCTTTTAGCTCTTTAGTTATCAATCTAAGACTATTCTTTCGAGCATAGTGAGAGGACTCCAAGCCTCTCTGACGAACAGAACCTAATTGATCACTTGACCTACTATTGATACTGTTACCTTCAAATCAAGAAACCCCGGATTAGCCAATCCAGCAAACGACTATACCTCTCTGAGGCATAGGTTCGTCACAGTTATATTAAATGTTGGATAAACAGATCAAGAATGTCTGGTTTACATCTTTATCGATGGTTAGCTTTATAATGTTAAATTGAGGTTAAACTTGCCTGTATATCATTTATATCCTAAAATAATAAAGCCTATTCGATGTAAACTCGACGATTTTTATAATGTTTATCGCAATGATATGAATCTTCAATTGTTCGGCTATGTTCTATGATATCATCAAAAGCATTGAGGCAGAGAAGTCACAATTGCTTGCGATCTTCTTGGGATGGTAGAAGAGACGAAGGGTTTGAAGATGAAGATAGAGACTTGTTTGAAGATGGATAAGGAATTTCGTTTGAAGATGAAGATAAAATCTCATTTGAAGATAAAAAGGGAGACTCGTCCATTTTTCGGAGGGAGACTGAGAATATGGATGTAAAGGTACCTGGAGTAAACGCAAGCAGTAAGAACAAAGGTATGAATACAAAGGTATTTATTACCTAAATATTTAATTTCCCGCATGACTGGTAGAATAGGATGTAAAGTAAATTAATAGCTAGGAAATCAAGGATTTATTGGCAGGGTCACAAGGTAGGGGGGAGGGGCGAGTATACATAGGGGTGGATATTACGGAGGAATTACGCAATATCAGGTTCCTTCACGAATAATGCAGCAGATAAAAACAAAATACAAGCGCTTTTGCCACTATATCGTCTATAACTAGTAAACTAAACCTTTTACCACTGGTTCTGCGAGGTATAGCGATCCCCTGGCGAGCAAACCAACCTTAAGAGACCAGATCCGGGACTTAGGTGAGGAATTACATATATATCCCTTCTAGGCCTATTTTCCGG